AAATATAATGCTTTAGGCATATTAAAAAATACTTTTTTTTAAAACACATACTGATCACCACCGAAATTAAGGCTTTCAGGAACAAGCAATACAAGCCAGTTCCTGACTTTTTCTCCCTCATTGTAACTGACAATATTCCTAGTGGCCCATTTGTGTCTCCCTGAACAGCTGGAGAGGATATTGGTAAGAGTCCCAGCAAAATGGTAGTAAGATTCATAAGGAAAGCCTTTTGATTCCTAAACAGCTTAGCTCACATACAGAATTTCTCACTCTACTCATTACAGCAGAAAGGCTGAATCAATACAGTGGTAGCCTGGTAGATAACCCTAGGGTTTTGGCTAAAAATTGCCCTCAGCATGAGGTCTATATGGCTTGATTAATCTAAGTAATTCAGAAGTAAACCAGCCTCTCTGAAGTTTATTGAGTTTGTTTTGCTTTATTTGTTTTCAGAGGGAGGGGAATTTGCAGCCTAATCTTCAAAGAGAAATATTTTGTTTGATAGAGGTTTTACTCTATACAACAAGAAGTTAACATGTGTTTTTGGATTTTAAATCAATTCTGATATTTTCATAAGCTTAAATTGACTCTAGGAATGTCCATAGGTAACAGGAGGAGGTCAGATTTTGAGTAGCACTGTTGTCCTCCATGACCTCCCTTGTGTAAGTGATCTTCCTGCTTTGGCTACCCAAGCAGTCTTCTCTAAAAGCCTGACAAGTCATGGTTTTTTTTTGGAACTGATGTTCTTAATTCTCATTCTTTCAAGTCTCACTGCAAAACGAACCCTATGTTCATTTATTTTGTAGAATAGAATTCACAACCGATACAGCCCTTATACTCAAATTCGAACAGGTTTTAAAATAGTATTTGTAGTGAAATGCCATAGATGTGAAAGTTCCAAAGTATCATTTTAAAATGCTGCCCATACACATTGATTTTGTAAGAATAAATTAAAATAGGCAATAAAACAAACTAAAATTTCAGTTTTTAATATTCTTAAATGTCATCAACTAAACAAAAATGATTTAAGCACAAATTTAACAAGCAAACTGAATAAATGCTACTAAAAACATGATGTGGTATAGTAGAAAGCCCAGCAGTTTTGAACTCAAATCGATGTCCTTTCAAATATCAGCATTTTTACTTCCTGGCCCTGTTTCCTTCCAGAAATTAAATTTATGTGAATAAGATTTCCTATATGAAAAATGAAGATGATGATACATATCAGCGAGGTTGTCATGAGATTCAGAATATGTGTAAAATGTGTGACACATCTAAGGACTGAAAAAATGTAATTGTTATTATTACAGTGATTTTTAATACTTTCATTTCATGGTTTTACCTTGTGACTGAAATTGTGTTAATTAACCCTGTTACATATACCATCAAGTGAATTCCTAACACCCTTGCCCATAAATATATTTATAACAATACAAAGAATAGAAACATATCAATAGAATGAAGATTTTTACACTAAAGAATAAGAGCATATGAGCATACTAACAGCAAAATACTTAGTAGGAGTTAAGAAGCCGACAAAATATAATTACACACATTTTCGTGATCTGTCGCAGTCTTTGTCACAAGTGAATTTTTTATAGAGAAACTCAGTCTATTTCCATGATAGGTCCGGTGGCAGGCATGGCCTTCCCTGTAGGATACTCCTTCATTCATGTTAATGTAAATAGACATTCAAGACAAATCAGTATTTTTTGGTATTTTGAGTTGATTGCTTTTAATAACTATTTTTAGCCAAATTTTTTCCACTTTTGAAGATAAATTTTTTAATAAGAATTGTTTCTGTTTTTTTTTTTTCTGGCTGCGTGGTGTGGAATGCAGGATCTTAGTTCCCCAGCCAGAGATTGAACCCGTGCCCCTGCAGTGGAAGCGCAGTCTTTACCACTGGACTGCCAAGGAAGTCCCCTTTAATAAGAATTTTGATTGGCTGTCAGTGCATTCCCTTCCAGATGAGTTCATAGAACACCCCACCCACCACACCTGATACAGAGAGCAGTTCTGTATCAGAAGTCAGTGGGATAGCCACCATGAGGGTACCATCATAATGACTACATGAATTTGCCCATAACTATTTATATTTCCTGCAGAGACTTTTGGAATTATCACTCTGGGACACAGAGTGTTAAACTCAGTTAAATTCAGGCAAGGTGATGCCAGCTTTGCTTGGGTTGTAACTTTTGTCTGATGAGTTCTCAGTGGACATGGTGTTAGTAGTGAATCCAAATTTTGGTATGTTTATTTAAAAAGCCCATTCCTTTCAAATATTTTTTACCTTTTCTTCAGGTTAATTTTTTTCAGTATTCTTACAATATTTTAAAACTCAATTTCTAAGGCTTTAATTAGCTTTGTGTTTCTCTGAACCTTTCATGATTTTTGACCCAGAGAACGTCTGCTCTGAGGAAATTTAAAAGTCCCTGAACCTAATCTTTGCTCTCTGCCTATCTGTCTTCTCAAGGCTTGTTTTGGTTTCTTCTGGCCCTTTTGCCTTTCACTTCTAAATCAATTTCCTGTACAGGTTTGTGTTTTTTTTGGTTCTTGGAGAGCATTATGTTTGAGTCAAGGTATTACCAGATAAGGCTAAATTCATAGATAACTCAGGTTTCTTGAACATTCAGGGGGATGCAGCAGGCATGAGGAGAGTGGTGGTTGTTCACCTGTGGGGTTTCTCAGGAAGCACACCTGGTCTGCTGATTTACAGTACTGATCCAGAGCTGGGTACTCCATTCTACAAAGAATTTCACCTTTGCTAAGGGAAAAGGGACCATTTTACTTTTATAAATACAGCTTAAGATAGTACACATAAACTAGTATTTTGTTCTCACAAGGTACTCAAAGGTATGCAGTATTTTTCAGGCTTAATTTGAGAATAGTCAAGGTGGATGATGTATTTAACAGTAAATTCTACACTTTTTCTTATCTACTCTTTTCATTTTACCTCCTCAGAAACCTACAATGTCTTCCTCTTTCTCCATATCATTTTCTGTCTTTCTAATCTCTCTTCCATTACCCCAGAGGCAGCTTCTCAACTCCCTACCTTTGAACATCATTGTTGATTCAAAATTTAAATTTTTTAAAGAAAGTTCTAATACATTGCCATTTGTTTGGGTTACTCCTCTGATGGGCATGCTTAGATTTTTGGAAGGCACAAACCATGTTCTTTTGTACCTTCAAAATATATCCAGAATCCAACCAGCTCTCACTACCTTCATTGCTATCGTCCTAGCCGCCATCATCTCTCTCCTGGATAATTGCAATTACCGTTAATAGGTCCCCTGACTTTTATGATACCTGCCCCATCACTGTCATTCTCTATACAGCAGGCAATATGAACCTTCTAAAAGATAAACCAGATCCCGTTATTCCTCTGCTCACAATCCTCCAATGGTGTTCCATTTCAGTTGAGTAAATGCAAAAGTCCATATAATTGCTTACAATGACCTTCATCATCTTGCTTCTCTCTGACACCATTTACTACTCCCTCCCATGTTCTCTCCACCTCAGCCACACTGGTCTGTTTATCTTAACCAAGCACATCAGGTGCTGTCCTGCCTTGAAGTCTTTGCATTGCTGTCCCTTCTGCCTAGGTATCTGTAGAACTCATTCCATTACCTCTCCCGGGTTTCTGTACAAATATCAGTGAGGTCTTCCCAGACAACTCTAAGTAAAAAGGACAGCACTCACTGCACTTCCTAGCCCCATCCTTGCTTAATTTTTTCCCCACAAAATTTTCACCAAATGACATACTATATGTTTTCCTTTTTTTCCCCCTTTCTCCCATAGAATGTAAGCTCCATGAGAGCAGGGTTATTTGTTTTGTTCACTGCTATAGCAAAGCACCTCACACATAGAGGCAGTTGATGAATACCTATTAAATAGATGGATCAATTTGTAGATAAATGCCTATCATGTTAATATTCTAACTAAAAGGCATTGGGTGAGATAGTGTTGGGCAATGAGGAAGAGTCAGACATATTTCTTACAAAATTTTTGATTAGTAATGACAGCGAGAGTCACAATTTTCTAAGTATGGACATGTTATGATCTTCTATGTTTAGATGTTTAAAATGTAATGGGTTACATATTTTGATCTTTAGACAATTTCTAAGGACAAGCTTTTTCATCCAAACAACTAGTTACCAAAATAAATGTAGAATCACAAGAACTCTAAGCTATTTCTCTATTTGTGGTTATTTAGGTCAATTAAAAAATCGTCTCAAATGTATAGACACCAAGGGGGGAAAGTGGCGGGGGGTGGTGGTGGTGGGATGAATTGGGAGATTGGGATTGACATATATACACTAATATGTATAAAATAGATAACTGATAAGAACCTGCTGTAAAAAAAATAAATAAAATTCAAAAATTCAAAAAAAAAAAAAAAAACGGTCTCAATAGCATGAATGCTTTAAAAATTTCCAGAGAATGGAAATCAGTTTACTGAAGTATAACTTAACTATTTTCCCAGCTCCTAATGAGAATAAAACATGGGCGTTTGGGGGTCTTTCTAGTCCTAAGTCAGAGGGATTACTTGGGGAAGTAATTGTTGGTCCTGTGAGGTCACTGAGTTTTAAGAACATATTGGGATTGGATACAGTGATGATGATGATAATAATAAAATAACAATATCTAATAGCTAATACTTATTGAAGCTCACCATGTACAGGCATGTACCATGATTGCTTGTATGAATGTACTTGATCTTTACAATAACCCTGTAAATCAGGTATTATTATTTCCATATTACGAATGAAAAAACTCAAGTTTGAAGAGGTTAGATAACTAGCCAAAGTCACACAGAAAACATATATGGCAAAGATGGAATCTGAATGCGTGGATTCAGAGTCCTCTCTTTCTTGACCCCCATGCTATATTGTGCCAATCTCCTACCTGGAGCATAAGTACAACTCCAAAAAAGTGTTTGTGCATGCTCGTGTGTGTGTGCATGCAAGGGAGGGCGTATGCACACTTGCTTGTGCATGTGTGCACGTGTGTATATGAGTTGATAATGGTGATAGTACTCTGTTAATGTTGAAAGTGAAGGTGATACAGCTCTGAAGAGAGTGAAGGTGAGAAAATAAGCACCATTGTTAAGCTTTATGCATGTTACATTATCAGCATAGCAACTTGTACAAGGAAACATTTTCACTTCTTTTTTAATAGATGAGCTATCAGAGGATCAGAGAAACAAGAACCTCACCCTTGGATAAGGCCTTGTCCAGGCAGTGGCAGCGAGACTGGGAGGAAAAATCTCACCCTGCTCCTCAGGGGTAAAGCTGACAGCTCTCCTGGAGGTATACAGGAAGGCATTCTGGCTTCCATGCGGAGATCCTCTGTACAAGGTATGTGTGTGTTCCCTTTGTGGTTGGGAGGGGACATCAGCCAAGGGAAGACATTGGGTCAGTCTAGGACTATGTAGTCTAAGGCTAGAGTTGCCAAGTATTGCATGGGAAATACTTATACTGAAAATTATTTGTTGTTTTTTGAAACTCAGATTTAGCTGGGTGGGTGTTCTGTTTTTTGCTCAATCTCCCAACTCTACCTGTGGTATCTAAACCCCTGTCAGAAGTGCTGAGCCAAAAAAAAAAAAAGTGCTGAGCAGATCACAAGAGCAGAGGGGCACTGCCTTAGACTTTGTGAATCCCCATACAGATTCATCAACTGTTCATTTATTCATACATCATTGACAGAACCATGACTACCTACCAGGGTCAGGCAGCATGCTAGGTTCTGAATGAGACTGTGAATGTTCACTCCCAGGGTTTACAGTGTCTAGTACAGAGGTTCTCAAATTTTAGCATATATTAAGATCACTTGGGAAGCTTGTTTAAAAAATTCCCTAGAGATTATAACTCTAAGAGTAAAACCCTGGAATTTGTGTTCTTAATGAACACTCCAGGTGATCTTGAGGTAGGTGGTTCCAGGAGCAAACTTTGATAAGTACTGGTCTAGTAGATGGAAGGAGACTTCATCCAGAAATTACAAGTATAAATAAGAAATACTCCTCAGTCAGACTTATATACTGGTACATTGTGTGATTTGAGTTTCTCTAAGGTATTAATGCAGATTATAGAGTGTTGTATTCTCCACATTACTTTTTTAAATGAAAGTGTCTTCTGGTAAGATATAACTAAGTGTGCTAGCAAGTGGGAATTGGCTCTTGAAAAGAGAGATTGTCCCCAGATTTCTGATCAGAGCCTCAAGTCAAGTGAAGTATGACATTCTTATAAAGTAGCTTAGACCTCTTGAGCCACAGTCAGTTCTACACCATGGTTATACATGAAAGCCTTGTTTCTGGAAGGAAAAGGTTCACTGTTTCATCATGTTAAAAGCAAGGACCTGTACCTACACTTTTTCAAACCAGTTTTTTATTTCAACATAGTGTTTGTGGTACTGATAGGGTATGTGCAGGCATTTCTGTATTTGTTGTTGAACACCCTGACTGCCGAATCCTCTATACAAAGTCAAGTCAAAGCAGTGAGCATTCTGGGAGGAATACCAACAACAAATTGTAGTAATCCAGCCTTGTTGTTATAAAAACATGAATCAAAAGCTCAGCGTCTTGCTGAGACAGCAATTGTCTTAACCTTGTTATACTCTTGAGATGGTAATACGAGGTCTTATCAGTATGGTTGATATGGCTCTCAAAGGAAGGATGAGGGTCAAAAATGGCTGGAATTTATCATGGAGAATATTGCTTTGTGGGATATCCAGCTATAGAATTGTGACTACCTATTAAATCCTCTATGAAGTAAGAAATATATGGTCCACTGCCTGCAGGATAAGAGAAGGGGAAGGAGGTGGAATCAAAAGTGAAATAAAACTGGTCAAATGAGATGAAAGTCTGCTTTCTTAATTTTCAGCCATAGGCATCAGTGTTTGAGATTACCCCTTAGGCAGCTTCTGATTGAGTGGGGATAGTTCCATGACATGGAAGATTAAAGGTTTTCTGGGTGACTGTATTTTAAATGATGAAATCTTTTCAAAGAGATTTTATTTTTGTAATCAAGTCTAGGCTGTGTTCATGTGAAAGCAAGTTATAAGTGACCCAGATGATTAACAGCATTTAAATAAGTATATAGAATAAAGCTACTGTGATCTATAGTTTCTATTTTTTTTTCAATTTGGGCTTTTTTTTAATGAAGTTCTTTTTTTTAAGACTTATTATTTATTTATTTGTTTTATTTATTTTTTTGACTGCGTCGGGTCTTAGTTGCGGCACACGGGATCTTCGTTGAGGCATGCAGGATCTTCTGTTGTGGCACTCAGGCTCTTCATTGTGGTGCATGGGCTTCTCTCTAGTTGTGGCGTGTGGGTTTTCTCTTCTAGTTGTGGCACGTGGGCTCCAGAGCGCGTGGGCTCTGTAGTTTGTGGCACGCAGGCTCTCAAGCTGAGGCATGTGAGCTCAGTAGTTGTGGCGCACAGGCTTAGTTGCCCTGCAGCATGTGAGATCTTAGTTCCCTGACCAGAGATCGAACTTGGGTTGTCTGCATTGTAAGGTGGATTCTTTACCACTGGACCACCAGGGAAATCCCTCAATTTGAGCTTTATATCTAGAAAGAAGTTTCTTAGAAAATTCTTAGAAAGAAATCAAACCAAGACTGATACCAAGAAGACAGCTTTCTTTAGGAATTGTCATTAGTGTTCAGTTCCAACCTCATGTCCTCCAGGAGGAAGGGCAATATGCAGAGTGTGCAAAAACCTGGGCTTTGAAGTGAGAAAGACCTGGACATGAATCACAACATTGTCACTTCGAAGTTGTGAGACCTTGAGCGAGTTACTTACCTCTCTGTGCCTTGTTGTTTTTTTTTTTTTTTTGCGGTACGCGGGCCTCTCACTGTTGTGGCCTCTCCCATTGTGGAGCACAGGCTCCGGACGCGCAGGGTCAGCGGCCATGGCTCACGGGCCCAGCCGCTCTGCGGCATGTGGGATCTTCCTGGACTGGGGCACGAACCCGTGTCCCCTGCATTGGCAGGCGAACTCTCAACCACTGCGCCACCAGGGAAGCCCTGTGCCTTGGTTTTATTAGCTATAAAATGCAGCTAAGATCAGTACTTGCTTCATAAAGTCTTTGTGAGGATGAAATGAGATATGTAAAATGCTCTCTACAGTGCCTGGCACATGGTATGTACTCTGTAAATATTAGCAGTGGAGAATTTGAGACTCCCCCCAAAATTGCACCTCTCTTTTCCTACCCAGGTTGTGAATAATTGGGAATTTTAGAAAAAGAAAAGAAACAAGAAAATATCACCTTATTAGTTATAGAGAAAGGTTGGAGAACGCAGTTTAGTTTGAAAGATAAATTGGTCTGCTAAATGTACCCCAGAATTAGTAGACTCACCCTGCCTGTTATAGCAGTACCACCTGGGCCAGCCTTCCCAAGGAAAGAGAAAGAAGAGCAGAACATGCTTGTCCCTCCAGGAAGCTCTTTTTCAAGAATGGCAGAACTGAATTGAGTATGTCCAGATATTCTTTTCAAAGTAAACAGAGACATCGTTCTATATCACCAGGGCCTGAGTGATTAAAAGGTCAGAAGTGAGGGGATGTGTTAGATAAAAGTCTTCTCCATGAAAACAAAGACTGAGGAGAAGATGTTCCTGTCTAACATAAAAATGTTATCAACATCATCAATGATTCATTTCCATTATACTTCATTTAATTCAATATTACCTCCTAACTTTATATTTTCAAATCATACCATAGCTGTATTAGTTTCCAACCACAAACTTAGTAGCTAAGACAATGTAAATTTTTTCTCATACAGTCCGGAGGTCAGAAGTCCATAAACTAAAGTCAGGGTATTGGCATGGCTGATTTTTCTGGAGACTCTGAGGGGAGAATCATTTCTTTGCCTTTTTCAGCTGGTAGAGGACACCTGCTTGTGGTTCTTTCTTTGCATCATTCCAACCTCTTGCTTCCGTCCTCATATCTCTTACTACTCTCTTGCACCTACCCATATAATCCAGGATAATCTCCTATTTCAGAATTATCAATCACATGGGCAAACTCCCTTCTGCCATGTTAAGTAGTAAAGTCGAAGGTTTCAGGGATTAGGATGTTAACATTTTGGGAGAGTCGATATTCAGCCTATCACAATGACATTTTTTTTTAACATCGTTATTGGAGTATAATTGCTTTACAATGTTGCGTTAGTTTCTGCTGTATAACAAAGTGAATCAGATATACGTACACATATATCCTCATATCCCTCCCTCTTGCATCTCCCTCCCACCCTCCCTATCCCAACCCTCTAGGTGGTCACAAAGCACAGAGCTGATCTCCCTGTGCTATGCAGCTGCTTCCCACTAGCTATCTATTTTATATTTGGTAGTGTATATATGTCAATGCCACTCTCTCACTTCGTCCCCAAAATATGGAACGCTTCACGAATTTGCGTGTCATCCTTGAGCAGGGGCCATGCTAATCTTCTCTGTATCGTTCCAATTTTAGCATATGTGCTGCCGAAGCGAGCACCACAGTGACATTTTGATTATTTCATTTTGCCTTGTAGCTATTTTTCTTGTTTCTGTGTACAGTATTCTTTTTAATTTCCTGAGTCAGGTTGTAAGTTCCTCAAGGATAGATATCAAATCTTCCATGTTTTTAATATGTTTACTACTTCATTATATTGTGTGTTTAAAGTAAAACGATGCTCATAATAGGCACTCAGTAAAGCCTACTGATTTAAATACTCTTGAATCACACAGTCTTTAGAATGGAGACACGGGTCTGGTCTACGTATGTTCCAGGAGAAACAATCTTAGCTTTGACTTTGGATTCTACGAACATTCAGACTACATAAGAGACAATGTAGACGGAAGCATTAGAATGTAACTTGTTTTCCAGAATTCTCACTGTTGGACTGTAGACAGGCTTTGGGACAGTCAGTTAAGTGTTAAGATTTACTGGAAATCCGTGGGATTGCTTCGGCCACACTCTCCTTCCTTCTGATAAAGAAGAGAAATATTGCGATTCTTGTGAGTGGATGTGAAAACTTACCCTGCACAATTTAACTGGCTCTCCCCATTAAACTTTGGAGGGAGGAGGATTATTATACAATGGAATTTGTTTCTGATTTTTGCTGCAGTAGTTAATAAGTAGTGTACTGTGACTTGAAATGAATATGGACACAAAATAATTCTCTCAGACATAGGTACATCTCAAATGCATGGTGGTTCATCACTTACGGGTTGAATTAGAAAATTATGGAGACCAGTATGTAATTTTAAGGTATTCAATTTACATTAACAGATATCTAAATGAACCATAGAATTATCTCTGAGACATATAGCCCAATTCATACTCATAATTTTAAAAGTTAGCAATGCTATATAGTAGCCTT